GGGTTTGTGTGTCAGGTGATTTTTGATTTGGTTGAATGATCACTGCTAGTGCAGAAGTTTCTCTTTGTATGGTTGGATTGGGACTATATTTGACTGGATTTTTTTTGGCTTCTAGTACCTGAGGGTTGACTTCTCATGGTTTGTTTCTATTAAGTAATTTTTTGAGGAATCATCTGAGTTTTGTAGTCAACCATAGTCATTCTTCTTCTGTTGTATTTTATCCAACCAGGCACTCTAGTTTTTACAGCGGTCCCAATGCTAGTATGCTCTCAATTTTCTCTTGTTGCTTTTAACTGTCTCAGCACTTTTCCAATTACCTCAACAGTTGACTTTCATTCCCGGTCATTTCGTTTTATAGAGCTTAGCTTGTAGTAGAGCGATTTTTTAATAGTAGACGACTCTCCAAATTTTTCTAGTAATATTTTTCTTACAACTTTATTGTGTCCTGGTGCTCTATCGTAGCCTGCTACTTGTAGGACACTTCCCTTTAAGGAGAACATTAAATAGTTCAGTTTTGGATGAAATTTCTTGAGAGTGTACCACGGGATTCTCTCCAACCTTTAGGGTCACCATTGAACGTGGCCAATGGCAACTGTAGTAGATTTACTGTTGGGCAGTAGGTTACTTGAAGGAATTTTCTCTGTTGAGAAACTTCCTCAATTGTTTCCTTATCACTTTGAGCTGGACGTTGAAGAGCTAACTCATAGTCGCCCTTGCACATGGTTAACGTTGTGATAGTTACTTTGTCGTCATCAATCAATTTCAAAATACTTTTGCCGTCGTTCGCCACTTTTGCGTACCTATCTTTCTCCTTTCTCATTGGATATATTCCAACCATTTCCCATTAATTGTTTTGAGGAGGCCAATATTCATTTCGAAGCACATCATCTTTTCTTTGATAATTCTTCTTCTGGCTTCGTGTTTTTGACGTAATTCTTCCATTGTCAGGTTTTGATCGAACTGGGTTAGATCCATCCCTCCCACTTTATTGAAGAGTCTCACCAATTTTGCTTTTGCTGGTTTGCAGCTGCGGTTATATTGGCGGGGTTACCTCACTTTGGGCACCAAAATTATGTGAAAAATATTACCTGATTTGGAAGAGACCGACAATGAAGTTTGTGTTGTCTGACACGGACGCACGGTGGTTGATGAAAGTTTACTAGTGACAGTAACAGTTTGTCAGTGAATACAAAGAATATAAAAACAGTTATGAATGAGTCCCTTTTGGTGGTGCCGCTAAAATCGTGAAGGGAAGCAGTGAATTCATTTGCTTTTATTGGTTTAATACTACTGAGTCTACTTTCAAATATATATACGCGCGTGTGTGCATGCGTGTGTGGATGTACTGTGCAATGTAAGCTGAAACAGTGCATCCATTGTATCTTGCTCTAATAAAGAGCTCCATTACCACACGCGCTAACAAGGGCACTAATTCTTGCAATGACAGAATTGCAAGAACACCAAGAGCACTTTTCAAGATGTGTTTCAAGGAGGCTGGGTGAATAGACGATATCGGGTGTCATTGAGTTTTCCTTTTATATTGTTATCGTTATTAATTTGTCATATATATTCAGCAATCGTAATTGCTAATTTCGTTGTTTTTAACAAGTTTATCGTAATAAAGGTTTAGTTATCCAAGTTTGAAGTGCTACCAACCAAGGAGGCGAGAAGAACCCTCAATCTTTATCAGGGTTGAAGGAAATAGATGGGAACATTGGGTAGGAATTTGTGTGTTGAATTCGAGATGATTAAAGATAAATTGGAGCTCGAAATGACGAAATCGTCGATCATCAGAGCTTGTCCAAAAAAAAAACTGATTTCAAGAACTTATATTGTGGGTATGGCCTAAAAAACTGATATATTACAAAAAAAATTAATTCTCAGAGAGAGAGAGAGAGAGAGAGAAATACGATATCTACAGACAAGTACCATTGGATATAAGTACGGTTATCAGATTAGACACTTTTACAATACACCCCATCAATCTGCATACCGTGTTTCCCGGAAAAGAAATCACCCCCTGAAAACAGACTCTAGTGACATTTCCAGGAAAGAGTTTAATAAAATAAGCCCTCCTCTGAAAATAAGACCTAGTTCGGTCTTGCCGCAGCCACAGGGAGCACCAGTGCCGGCGCTCCCTGCATCCTCGCCAAGCCCTGGATGAGGCCTCGGGTCCACTCCCACTCTCTGCTGGTCATTTCCCTCGTCGCCGCTCAGCATGCCGCAGGGAACTGTACAGCTTTTTGCAAAGAAAAGCTGGATGTCCGATTGGTCCGAAAATGGCAAGCAGAGTAGATAGCCTCTGTGAACAGGTGGACAGGGGAAAATGCTACCGTGTTTCCCCGAAAATAAGGCATCTCCTGAAAATAAGCTCTAGCACTTTTTTTTTTCTGGGGAGAGGAGAGGGGAATAATTTAAGACCCTATCTTATTTTAGGAGAAACATGGTGAGCTGAGTTGTCAGACCAGCTGCTCACCAACGGTCAAAGATTACAAGAAGCAGCAGTCCTTTACCACAGTGTGACGGGAGTTGCATAAATGATTTATCGCTTAATACATTGGAAATTTAATTTTAATTTTTTTGTAATGAATCACTTATAGGGAAAATGACCTAAATGAGACAATATTTGTGATACAAATTCCTGATACATATACTTTGACTGTTTTAACGTTTATAAATTTTGTCTGCTTTTCCGACAATATATTTCAAACCGGACAATGAACTAGTGAGTAGTGAGTAGATGTGAGTAGATGAACTTTTTTGATTGTGGAGGGTGAAAGTAGGGGTACAAGCCCAAGTAAATACAGGTCAGCAACTCGCTCACTCGCTTTTAAAAACAATTATTCGGAATTATTTTCAAGAAAAAAATTCAAGTTGGGGGATCAAGTGGAATTATGCAGAAAAAATTCAGGTATTGACGCACACGCAAGATAATTTGGCATTCATATGTTAACGAAATGGTTGGAAAGTTGCAAGATTTGTGACAGAAATGATAATTTGGAAAAATAAATAATGATGTAGTGGATATCGTACTAGTGGATATCTCAAACTAACGATTACCAGTATAGAGCACTTATTTTCAGCATTGTAAAGGTGAGGGAGACAAACTGGGAAATATTATGCGGTGACGTTTCGTGCGGGAACTATCTGACTGTGCTATTAGTCGATACAACAAGAGAATTGTCGATTAGGCTCGAAAGGAATTAGATTTCATCAAAAAATAAAAACAATAATGCTGCAAGTCGTTTACCGCATTCCAATGATATCTATCGATTATTTGCAAAGGACAAATGTATCAAGGGCTTTCACAAACAAGAGGACTATCAGGAGAAGGACACTCTACCACCATTACACAAGAAAAAAAGTAGTTTTACGTCCGCAGGGAAGCTCCAGTTAAACTATGGTGTAAAGAAAGAACGAATATGGAAAAACAGTACTGATTAATGAACAAGTTGAAAATTCGAGCTGAAAGCAAACGTTAAGATCACTGAGGAAGTGGACAAATAATAACTATAATCAATCGATTGGCGATTTTCCGATTTCTGCTAGATAGACAAAGGATGTTGCTGATATACACGTCATGTTCCTTGCACCCTACGTCATGCAGGAGAGCACACTCGACAGTACAAACATATTCAAAAGATAATCTTCGTAACACGATATACATTCAAGGGATACTTTGAGCATCTCGTCGAACTGAATTTTCAATGTTCCCACACATACGAGTAAATCTGGATTAGGTCTGGATTTAAGGAATTGCAGTGATCTGAAGAACCTGAAGACCTTAATCTCTGAGAATGAGTCCGAAGTTGTTTCTTAAATGTAGGATAGTGTCGGATTACCGAAATTAAAGCTATGTTCAAATAAAATTTCCACAATATCCGACAGACGGGGTGATGAAATCTTGTAAAATTAAAGCAATGAAGAGAATATAAACTAGCAATGGCAGTATAACACAAAGACATCTCAGTATCTACACCATGGACAATAATATCCATTGTACCTACAAAATGGACAATGCCAGAGGGCAGCCATATCTCCGTGATAGCCCCGATGGAACTTACAGAACTCCTTCCTAATCCTTATATATATGAGGAAAAATCTGGTAGTTTTTCACAATCAAGCAAGCTACGGCATCCTCTTCGGATTTTCATCAGCACTGAATAACAGACTACAGTATTCCTTCTTTTCGCTAAGAATATTTCCTGCGACATATCCCCAGCTCAACGAAGGACGAATTCTTGTATCTCAACCAATATGTAACTTATCAACAAAACGACAGTCAACTATTATCGAAGGCAATGACACGGAATTTCTTAGTTGATCATATTGCTTGCATGTTGTGTAACTCATCACTGCTTACCAGTTCATCGCGTATTATATATATATATATATATATATATATATTACTACCCTTTTTGTTGTGAAGAACAATATTACATCCCAAATAAATCTATCTCGCTGAAAAACGAATCCGACAGATTAGCTTTCCCGACAGATGGCTGTTTTTGCAAGGTTTACTTGTACAGTACCAGTCATTTCTTCGTTGGACACTTTTATTCATTTTTCTTGAGTTCTATCCGAAGTCTTGTAGAGCACAAAGCTAATTGACATCTTCACTACTTCTGTTTGCTACTTCACAATAATTGCCTCAACATGATTTTATCCAGTTGATTCGTTGTTTGTGGCACGTATCAGGTAGTTTTTACCTCTCATATGCCTAAAGAAAGACTTGTATGGCCACAACTAAAATCTCAAGCCCCCGAGGAACTCGCACTATTATGTTTTTGTCAAGAGTAATTATTTAATTTTGGTTTCTGAGTTCTTCAGTGAGTCATTTGTGAGTTCGGTACCAATTAGTACTTTCTACTATTTTAACCACTTAGCTTCATACCCAGCGATTACCCGTTTCTCGACTGTTTTTCTAGTAATTGAAATTCTCTGTCTGAACTTTCTGGATGAAAGATTTTTGACTCTCGTTATTAAATTGGCGAAAATTCTCCGCTGCTGCGATAATGCCGCATGAAACTGAAGTAGTTGCATTTTTCGAAGTTTCAACAACTTTCCGTAATTGGAGGCAACTGAACTGGTGGCAGTTGATGTAGCAATTGTAGTTGTAGAGTTCTTATTAGGTATTGTATTATATTTGCGAACCGATGCTGTTCAAACCTTCTTTCCCTCTTTTCACTGATTCAAATTGTTCAAATACTTTTGCAGGCATGTCGTGTCAACATTTTAGATGCTATCAGAGAGGATAAATCTTCGACCGACTCCTGATTAATGGTATCCCACTGTTCTGGTTCCACTCGACTCCTGGTCAGCGCACCTTAATGGTCTATT